TATCCAAAAGTGATAAAAATTAGTATTAAGTTTTGATGACACAGTACCACGAAACCAGCGTTAGCAGATCAAGGCATCCAACGACAGAGTCAGCGGTAACTAGTTTTAGCAGGGGTAACGAGGAGGACTAAGGGGGAGACCCAGGCCCATGTTACACCCTCGTCCGGCTCTGGTTTAACGTATCCAGCAAATTTCTACATTTCTTTTGAAAACTCACACGCCAAAAATGTGACTTCCACTTCCATTTTATTAGGATTACACTACATTTTATTACGATGCGGTGTATTTAAACAGTCTGCCCTCAACATCGAAGATTCTCATGAGATTTTCCTGCTTCTCAATTTCCTGATGTCAATTTTAAGAGAGAACTCACAGCTGCTGATGCAGCGAAGTGGTCAGCGGTCAGGTGATGCCCATACAGGATACTTTCCACTCCCCGCTGATGGACGACGTGGTTCAATTTTAACTTACTGTTCAACCCCGACCAGCGTGCATCCCTTAAGGCATTAAGACGATGTAAAAATTTAATCATCCTAAGAGGTAAGTTTATACAACAATCATCTATTAGCTCTGTAAATAAAAAAGTAAGACACGAGAAAACATCTGTACATAAAGTGATATACTTTGGTCCTAAACTGGCCTGACCTCCGGGGCCCCGGCTTATTGTCCACAGGAGAGGGCAGGGGCCTCGCCCCGGTTTACTACCTTCTGAACCTAAGAGGTCCCTGGCCTTTTCAAATCAGAACAAAACCTACACAGAGAATTCCTACACCACCAGCAGCGAAACGCCATTACACTCGAGCTGCATGTGCGGGAACCTGACGTGTCTAGGGGGTTCGGGCTAGAGCCAGACAAGCCCTCGGGAGGGCGCTCGGCCGGCGACGGCTGTCCATCCTCAAGTGAAGGGGGCATACAGGGTCACACACACCCAAAAGGATCAGCTATCTGACAAAAATCAACCACACTAATTTTATTAACCAATGTTACCTCAATAAAATTCAAAAAAAGAAAAAAGAAAAAAAAACCCACACAAAAAACAAACCACACACATCCGGTAACAGCAGGAAAGCAAACCCACTCCATGGACAGGCTGCAGAGCACACAGCATTTCTGGTGACACAAAAAACAAATGACATCCGTACGGCGCCCCAACCCTGCCCCTGCAGAGACGTGCCTGCGAGGCGGTGAGGGCTGTCCCCGTGGATCCCAAAGCTCGCCGACCTGCACGTGCACGTTGCTTATGGGCTGCTACGCAATGTCACGTTTAAAAACTACTATAAAGAACTTCCTTTTCGGAACATGTTAAAGCTAAATCTGATGAGGAAGAAGTACGTTACTGAAAGCTTTCAAAAACTCCCAATCATTCTGTCGTTGTACTAATAATTTAAGACGCGACTTCTTTGATTTAAATGACAAGCACGAATCTGCCCGTTTAGAGCCTCTGCAGCACCGCTGGCGGGGCGACGGGCCGGGGACGCACGGCCGCTCGCTGTGGGCTCCAGGCCCATCCCCGTGGGCAGCCTGCGCAGGAGTGGGCTTGCCTACGATGGCTGTCCCCGCCTCCCTGACACCCAGGGCCGAGCCTTCGCGCCTTGGAGGAGCGCCCCCGCTCGTCGTGGGGGCGGGGGTCGCGCACCTTCTGCCAGCCCCTCTTGTCCCCAGGACGCAGCTCCCTGGCAGTGCTGCTTCCAGAGCGAGGCGCACCAGCTCTCGGGGAGCCCCTCCACCACCGCACTCAGTCTCCCCGCCCCGCCTCTAAGGACGAGGCTCCTCCCCACCCGAAGGCAACTGCCAAGTGTGTCCGTCTCCCCAGCGGTGGGCCGCGAGCAGAAGTCCAGTCTGATGTCCGGGGAGCGGCTGGCGCCTCAGGGCTGACGGCGACGTTGGCCTGCAGTGCCCCGACACACGGAAGCCGACAGCCCGGCGCACACGCATCCAGGCACGCGTCCTCCGCACACGGCTCTGCGGCTCTCCCGCCCTGCGGCCCATTTGCTCTCCGGCCAGGCAGAGGGCCCGGCTCGCGTTCACAGAGCTGGAACCTTCTCCCTGCTGGAACCTTCTCCCTGAAACCGGCAGCACTCCTGGCTTCACGCTGCAAACACCTGACTCACCTCACTCACGTCTGTTTACTGAGCACCTTCTATGGACAGAGGACAGTGGTGACAAACAAGCTCCTGCCCTCAGGGACCGGGGTCTAAAAGAATGACTGGCAGGCAAATGTCGACCTGAGCCACCTGGATCCCTAACTGCATGAGAATTAAAAGGCCATTTACGATTCACTCCCAGGTCACAGCTGTGACTTAGGTGCACTTGCTGCGTGATGTCACTGTGTCCGCACCATCCTCAAGAGGTCCTACCAACCGTCCACGTGGTAAACAAGAGGAAACGGAGTCACAACTCTCCAAGGTTCACAGTCACCAAGGGCAAAGCCACGAATGTGACACGGACTAGCTGCAGTTAGCCACACCAGGGCCCCAACACAGACCGTAACTGGCTGGTCACTGCCTGCGCCTGCCCGTGGCTCCGTCGGGACAAGCTCTTTGAGGACGACGCGGTGGATGTCAACACCTCAACGCCGCCCTCCGAGCTGCAGGCGCAGTCCCGTCTCTCCTACGGTGGCAGCTCCATCGGGGCGAGAAGCCCACGCATCCCCATCAGCGGAGGCCTCTGACCCCTGGTCTGGCTGCAGGGCATCGGCCTGGCTGAGCCGCTGGCCGGTCAGCCGCTGGCCCTGGCACCTTCCCATCGGCTCATCTCCCGACGCCTGCCACAGAGGGAATTTGTCATTTCCCAGAAGCCATATTAAATGAGTAAGAAAACCCCAGATTAACGATAATTTTAGTAATATGTGTATTTAATTCTACATATCCAAATGTAACCTCAACATGTAATCCACATAAACCATTGTAAATGAGGCGTTCTGCATTCATCTGTCACCTGCTTTTGAGATCTGGTGCGTATTTTAGCTCGATGTGGACTAGTCTCATTTCAAGTGCTCAACAGTCACATAGGGCTGGCAGCCACCAGATGCCACTGTGCTGAGCCCTCGCTAATCCCTTCATCGCACAGGGGACACTCCCCTGGGGGACGGTCACTTCAGTACCTTCCAGAAAGGGCGGAAACCGGGCTCTTCCCTGCACGGCACGGAGCGGCTTCCCCGCCTCAGACACTGAGGAAGGTGAGGCGGTCTTCCTGACTCTCTAACCTCCCTCCCTGTGTCACCTCACAAACCAGTCCACTTACCGACCAGGCAGGTGTCAGCAATTCAGGGCTGACAGCAGTCGTGACAGTGGCAGGTCGCCCAACCCAGAGCGACGGCCCGCTAAGTAGGGCTGGTTACCAAAGCACGAGGGGGTGTCCCCTCAGATGGCGTGGTGACAGTGAGGAAGTCACCTCCTCCTTTGCCTACCTAGTGGAGCGATTAAGCAAATGGCAACAGTGGCGACCAGTGTGACGCGGGGGTGCAGCAGCCAGAGCGCAAGTAACACAACCAACACGTCTCAGGTGGTACGTTCTCACCAAGGTGCACACCTCGGAAACCCCGCCACTATTAAGACGATGAACGTATCCATCACCCCAAGTCTCCTCCGGCCCCTCTAAGTCCCACCTCCACCCGGCGGCCACCGGTCTGCTTGCCATCGCTACGGAGACTTTGCACGTTCTAGAAGCTCCCGTACGGGGGCTCACACACGACGTGCTGTCTTGCGGTCTGGCTTCGTTCACGCAGCATGATTGTCCCGAGGTCACCCGTGTTGTTGCGTGGACAGTCGCCATGGGGACCCCTGCTTCATCTGTCCTGGGTAGACACCTCGCGGTGGAAGGGCTGGAGCACAGCCGGTGGGCACGTGCTTCGCGTTTGAGAAACGGCCGAGCTGTTTCCACCGTGGCTGCACCGTCTCGCCCCGTCTCGCCCCGTCCCCTGCACCCTGTGGGGCCCCGGAGCCGAGTCTGGCGCCCTCGCCAGCACGTGGTGTGCTGGGCCTCCCCCGGTTCGGGCACTCTGGCACGCGGTGGTGGTGCCCGCGTGGATGTAGTGCGTTCCCGAGGTCAGCGAGTCCGGCCGCCTCTCACGCACACGTGCGCTGGCTGCAGGACACTCCACTGAAGCATCTGCTCAGGGCGCCGGCCTCCTCCAGCGGCTGTCTCTCAGCGCTGAATCCCGAGAGCTGTTCACCCATTCCGGGTACAGGTCGCCTCCGAGACACGTCACTTACGAATCTTTTCTGCCAATCTGTGGCTTTTCATTCTCTAACAGTGTCTGAAGGAGAACGTTTTAATTCTGATGAAGTCCGAACTGTTCTCTTTTATGGACTGTGTCTTTGATGTCACAACTGATGAGTCTCTGCCTAACGCGCTAAGTCTCAATGACTTTCTCCGTTTTCTTTTAGAGGTTTTCTAGGCTTAGGTTTTATATTTAGGTCTGTGGTTCTCTCTGAGTTCATTTTTTTGTCAATGGTATCAAGTTCACCTTGGGTGTACGATACCCAACCGATCAAGCACCTGATTCATTCAATTTGGTGCTGCTTTTTGATTTATCCCAACTTACAAAGAAAGAGCTGCAAGAACAACGCGGAGAGCCGCACGTCGTCGCCCCGACGCTGGCGCACCTGCTCTTCCACCCCAGCACACAAACACACCGGGGTTCGGACCCGCATCGTGTGGCCTCCGCCTGATCTGTACCAGCTGGCAGTCCAGCTAAGACTGAATCTGGAAAAAGGGCCCTCTGCTTTCTAATGAAAGAAGCTGGAGAAATACTGCTCTAATCTAGAATGCGAACCAGAACCAGTGGGAC